AGGGCTACACTTAGAGACAGACAACCAAGCACACTCACATTCACACCTACGGACAATTTAGAATCACCAATTAACCTCAGCATGTTTCTGGACTGTGTGGGAGGAAGCTGGAGAACCCGGAGAGAACCCACGCTGCACGGGGAGAACATGGAGACTCCACGCAGAAAGATTACAAACCGGTGACCTTCTTGCTGCGAGGCAACAGTGCTAACCACTGCTCCACCTTGCAGCCCCCTACCTTGAACTTGATGTCTGCATTTTTTGCCAAATCACAGTGGAGCTAGTGTTACTGATTTAATATTCTACATGATGGATACCAACAGCGTCGTTCATTTTCTAATCTGTGCTGTATGAGGCAGTACTAGGCAGCAAAACAGAACCAAGCACAAGAACATATTTCCACATTGTCTGCATTATCAACTGTTGGTTTTCGTGGCAACGCTGCATGCGACTGTTTGCAGCACGTTTAAATAGGACACTCTGAACATAAACCACTTCCTATGCTGGTTAGCCGTGGTACCATCTAGCACTTGGAGGTTTTTCATGTAGGACTGACATAACTTGCTCACACATGAATTTTGCTTCGTAGCACAATCCTTTGAAATGTCAGTAAACGTAAGCGAATGTTCCGAGCAATTAGTTTACCTGAAGAACAAACACAGGAGGGAAAACAAAGGAGGCGCTTAGGTTTAGTTTCAAGGGCGACACTAATACGGGTTGTTTCTTTCTAAATCTTTGCCTTTGTAAAGGCTCATTAAAAAGCCAGTGTGTCCTTTTATAATTAAATCAAAGCTCTTACTCATGTAGCAAATGTTATTGTATTGCTAATGATGTTAGCAAATGCTCAAGGGTTGTCTGGTTGCACATTGGAATTAGATTAGATTCATTGGAGAGCTTTTAATAGATTAAAAGTGTTGCACTCGGCTATGAAAGAAAAAATATGGTGTCTTTTACTTCACCTTGCTCGCTGCCCCGTCTCACATGCCGTGCTAGCTGTCGGTCATGCCGTGCATTTCAAAATACAGGTTGCACTTAAACGTTTGCCCTGTTGCATCATATTCGATTGTAAAACATCAAATTCCGAAGAAGCGACTGTCTTCGGTTTCCTTGATGAAAAAGGTTTTTGGTTTGGAAAGTACAGCAAAGACGAGGCTCTCGTTGGTAATTTCCATGTGCAGCAACATTGGCCAACAATCAAGAGCGGATGGAAACTTTCAGTCATTCCAGCTCTTTTTTTTTTTTTTTGTTTCCTAGAGTGTCTGTAAAAAACATTTGCAGCATTTAGTCTGTCTGAGGACTCTTTGTTAACACGATGAAATCGTTTAGCATGCTCTGATTGCTTCTGGCTGTCGAACAGAGAGAGATCCAGAAAATGTAGGCGCCAAGAATGAAAGCAGGAAAAAGAAGTTGTGGTGTGTGTGTGTTGTTGAGTGTTGTCGTGGTGCTCCGGTTTAACTGATGGTCGCGTTGTTTGGTGATAATTGCTTACATATTAAACTTGCTGTACTCCAGATGCTGTTGTTGTTGTTCACAGATTTGTCAGTTTCACCGACTATTGGCCCAAAGTGTGTCTGGGAGAGATATTAAAGAGCTAACCAAAAAAGACATGAAGAGTTAGATGTGCATGTTTTTAGCATAATCATTATTTTCCAGGGCTGCAAGGTGGGTCAGTGGTTAGCACCGTTGCCTCGCAGCAAGAAGGTCGGCGGTTCGCGTCCCGGTGAGGACACCCGGGATCTTTCTGCGTGGGGTTTGCATGTTCTCTCCGAGTTCTCTGGCTTCCTCCCACACAGTCAAAAAGGTTAACTGGTGGTTCTAAATTGTCCGTAGGCGGGAATGTGAGTGTGCTTGGTTGTCTGTCTCTAAGTGTAGCCCTGTGATAGACTGGTTACCTGTCCAGGTGTCCCCTGCCTTCACCCTGAGTCAGCTGGGATAAACTCCAGCCCCCCATGACCCTGGTGAGGATTAAGTGGTGTGTAGATGATGGATGGATGGATGGATTTACTCAATTAACACTTGAAACATGATGAATAGCCAGGGCTTGGTTGTTTTTGTTTTTGTTTTTCACATTTTTTCATTGTTCCCCTCGTTCACACATAAAACTCTACTAATTAAAAAAAGCAAACTTGTGTAGATACATAAATAAATAAACCGAATAATCAATAACCAACCTCTTCTTTGTAATATAGTAGTTCAGTCGACGTTGACATGTAAAACCACTACAACTGATTTCAAGTGTTTTGATTTGTATTGACAGAGAGGGCTTCAGTGGTGAGAGCTTATTTGCCCTAGACAGTCTTTAATTTACCTATGTGATTAATCGTAGGGCCCCAAGCGGACTCAGATTTCTCAGATGACCCCTTTAGACTGCCTTTAGTTTTCTGTTTTCCTAAATATGCAGAATCAATGTCTCATAACACGTGAGGGGTTCATTAGGACGTACATTCAACACAGCCCGGCTTCTATTGCTTTAAAAACCAGAAACTCTAATCAGAGATAACGGCATCAGCTTTCTTTTGTTTACCCAGGTTTTCAGGCTCTGTGTATTCTTTCATCAGATATGGCGTTAGACGGATCGTTTGACTTTTTATCCAAACAAAATGGCCAGATTGTGTGCCACTTACTTCAGCCGAGAGAAACAGGACTTTTTAGTTTTTCATGACAAAAAGCATGGATGCTGCAAACAAAGCAAAGAGAAGAATGCTGGGAGAAGATTGTTGATCATTAAGTTGTAATACTATTTTCACCACCTAGTGACTCTCAGTGCAGCCGCTTATTTCTAATGTGACAGCTGCACATTAGAGCATTTCAACTGTCACTGCAGTTTTTTGCTAGAAGTCATATTATTGTTTATTTATTGAATATTCTCTCTGATAAATACCAATAAACTAGTCGATCTTCTAACCTGTTTTCTCTTTGCTGCAGCTGTAAGATTGATTTGGCAGCAAATGAGAACCAAATATTAAAACGTTTTAATGCGATTTCTGCATCAGCACGTAGGTTTCGTGTACAGTTTGAGCTGCTGTGACTGATAACGAACGTACGGCTCAGCTGGTTTTCATACGTACATGCACAGTTTGCTCAGCTGAGAATGTGTATCGCTCACAGATCATTCATGAAAATAGTTAAAGTCAATTTAGCTCTGCACATAGACCAGGTTAGCTCAGCAGCATAAGTTAACATGGTGATCTACCAGGTTAGTTTTTGCTCAGCGGATCTCACAAACTCATCAATTTTAAACCAGAACCCTGCTTTGTTTCCATCAGATGGAGCAATTTCAATTTGCTCTACAAGTTTGATTTAATAGAACTTATTAACATCAAAGCTGATGGAATTTGCAGCGATGAATATCCTGCACACCTGAATCTAATCATTCCTCCTCCGCCGCCGCCGCAGCAGCTACACAAAACACCACCAGAGGCAGAATTCTCCCCGTTGTTTTCTGCAAACACATGTTTCTCATAACATCTACAGAAGTTTGGTTTTCCTCGAACAGCAGTCTCCACCCTCTTTCACATGCTCACGCCTCTTCTCTTTCCCTCGTAACCTTCCTGTAGATGAGTTTACTGTTTTGGCTTTTTTAGAGACAAGAGTAGAAACCTTGAACGGAAAGCAAGTCTTATAGTAGGCGGCGGAAGGCGGCGGGGGGATAGTGGGAGATGCACAGGTGGAGCACAGATTGGAAAGAGGCAGTTGTTTCAGGATAAACACAGGGGGGAAGTGTGGGGTTAGGTGGAGCTTTCCTGGCTGCACAGGCTATTCAGGGACAGGTTGGACTGGTTTCTGCCTCCACAATACCCACGTCTCCCTCATTCTCAATCATTTATACCGGCAGAGAGGGAAGAAGAAGAAGAAGAAGTGAACCAGATAGAGAGGCTGTGAACAGAACAGAGTACATTTCAGCATTTCAGGCCCCGAAAGGAATTTCAACATGCCTGAGGAGGATGGAGAATTTTACGGAAAGAATGGTAACTGCTTTGCTTTTATTTTTAGTTTTTTATATCTTGACGGACCTAAGAAACACAAAACGAACCGAGGATTGTTGGTCGGTTTTTAGGCCTTGCTTTCGTAACTGCTTGAAGATGAATCTGTCTCCTTAAGTGGGTTAATAGTGAAACTGGAGCAGCAGTATCGGCATGTCAACACTGCAGGGTTGAAAAAAAAAAACAAGGTGTGTGTGTTTGTGTGGACTGCCGGCTCTGCTGATTATACAGGTGTGTGGGCGCTTACAGGGAGCGCTTATCAAAGTTTCTTCTCTGTGCAAATGTTACCGGGTTGAATGTACACAATGAAGGACTGAATCTGTGCTACAGGCCCATATTCATGATCCGGAAGCTTTATTTCTCTTTTTAGAGTATCTACTTTTTAATTTTTGTTTACATCTAGTCGTGATCATATAAAGTTGCTGTGTTTATCAAAAACAGTCTTTGAATTTGTTCACCTCAGAGGCGACGGCACCAAGTCCCTCCGTGTACATGATATCCAGCACCCATGCTCCTTCTAACAGGAAGCTGTGACTTCCATAAAAGCCTGTCTGGTAAATGCTCGCTGCAGCATTATCCCCACACACCACATACATAATTAATACGTATAGACGCCACAGTGAATATCATACATTTGTCTAGACTCTAAGGTGTCAGGATCATGCTACCGTCGTGCGTATCCGTGCTGTGTCAGTTGTGTGGCGTTGATGATTTCAGCGATCCAGTGGCCCAACAAGGCAGCCGTGTTGTTATTTTAGATATGAAACCGCTATTTTTGTGTCTGGGTGGTGGCAATGGCTGCTAGATAAATTTGCTTAGATAATAGATGCTTCTCCTTTTGTTTCTGACACACTGACCTCAGCTACCCTGCAGGAAACTGAACTGTATGGTTGAGCCAATTCCACTGAAAGAAAAGCACTCCTTATTATTTAGAATTTCACTTTGACTTTGTTGGCCGACACTGCAGGAGTTATGATTCACCCCTCCTGATAATCAGAGAAGAAATCCGGTCTGGGAT